ACGCCCTATATAAATTTTTATATTTAAAAAAAATTGCAATAATAGCTTAATAAAAGTTGAATTACTCATTTTTCTAAAAGTCTCCAGTGATGCCATAAATAAAAGCAAATTAGTAGACAGATATAAAGCGCAAACCTTTTTAACTCTTTCTCACGTGTATATATATGTATATATATACACTCAACTAAAGATATAAAATCAAAAATGGAAAGTTCCAAAAAAGGAGTTTTAAAAGTTAATATTTTAATAGTTGTAAATTCTAGAATTTAAAAATTTAAAGCCTTATTTATTATTGTTACCAGTTTACAATAACAAAAAAGGTGCTTTCATCAAGGTCACTGGTACTAGAGCAAAGGCTATCTTTCTGTGAGTAAACTCATTAAACTCATTATAAATAAAAATATTGGCAGATGTATTTAAAGAAAGACCTTGGTTAATTCAATCAGAAATAACATTGAAGAGTGAAAGAAGGAAAAAGGAAGCATAAATTCTTGGAGCAAAAAGCATAAAAAACAAGAGTAAGGATAATTAAGTACAAGTGGTGCTTAATGAAGTTATATAAAAGTATAACCATAAATTTCAAACATGATTTAACAACAAATATATAAGAATATGCCCAGACCAAGCAAGACTGAATCAACAAAATTTTTTCCAATTAGAGGAAAATAACCATCAACACTAAAATATGAAGATAAAGCAACTAAATTTAAACAAATTTCAGTAACTAAATTATTCAAATGGTAAGATATGACTGATAAAAAAGACAGAAAATATTTAAAAAAGATTGATTAAAACATTATTTGTTTAAAATGTTTTTTCTTTTTAAACATTATTTGCTATTAATATCACAATTTAGTTTATTTTTATTCTTTATTTGCAAAAATAACAGTAATGGTCCAAGAGTCCATGGCAGCTAGACCTATGTTAAGACTGAAAATTTCTCAGCGCATGCTTGTAACACAAGTTGGAATGATGGTCTACTATGTACTTTACAATCATGGTGACTTTGGTTGGTAACAGGTCCAAATGTGTTTAAAATACCTGCTAAAATGTCACATAAAGCATAACTTTCTTATATTTTCCTTCAGAGCAGTATTAGAAATCATTACAGACACTTATAACGGTGGCAATCCCTTACCAGTCACCTTTTAAGTTCAAAAATCTGTACTTACTTAATAGAATAAAAATGGAAATTAGGTTACTTAGGTAACTATTAGAAGATGTTTCCTCGTTAGCAATTAATAATTTATTAATTTAACAATTGATAATTTATTGAATTGAAAATTTATGTATAAATTATTAACTTTAATTATTATTAAAAAGTATTGCAACAACAAAGATGGTGGCTGTGTAATGGATATTTTAAATAATCTTTCTTTTTTCTTTGACTGTTTCATAACTTTTTTAGAATTTTGAGACTCAGAGGTAAAATATTTTTTATGATCCCCTTAAACAATTAATAACACTCTCTGTTATTTTAAACCATTGTCAATATATTAGCCAGGTAAAAACTAAGTGATGCTATTTATGTTAAAAGTAAAATGGGGGTTATCTACAGTAACATTTCAACCTTATTTTACCTTAATAAAGTTTTTCATAAATATCTTACCAATTTTTTAGATAATAACTTTATCATTCCTTTAACTTAAGTTAAGTTTGTACTAAATTCAATATCGTGGACGTTTTTTTGGAAAATTTTCTTCATATTTCTATTGAAAAACAGGAACTTGTCTTAAAATGCACTTTGGAAGGTTTGCAGGCTAATTCTAAACAGCATGTACTAAAAATGGAATTTGATATATTGGATTTCAAAAATATATTTTTGACAATAATTTAAAAGGTTTGAATTAAGTAAATTTAGAATTAAATTAAATAAATTAAGAGAAATTTTATTTTATTTCTTTAACATCTGCTAAAAGTCTAAAACACTTGTTTGTACTTCATTATCATTTATAACTTTCATGGTTATCACCATGGTTATCTTTGATAACTTTCACTCTTATAGTTTTTTTTTTTTTTTTTGTTTCCTAATTTATTAAACTAAAATATTGTTGGTAAAGTTTCTTTTATTTAAACACAAATTATTTTTTTAAAGAGTTGTCATACATTTATATTTGGTTAGTTAAAAGGAACATAGGAAAAAGACAGGCCTTTAAATGTCAAAAATAAATAAGTAAAAATAAATAAGCAGATGGGTTTGCTTAGACTGGCAATAAACATATTTGGGTTTTACAGAACTGAATAATGCAATCAAAATCTGTCATGTTATTGAATTTATTTAATGTTAGTCTAGTGAAGTTGTAATTTTTTTCCTTATTATTTAGAATATTTCATCACCATTTTGTTTTTTTTAATAAAATAATTCAAATCAATGGATCCATTTGGAACTATAAAAGATACAATTTTCGTCTGATTTTTCTCTTTTTTTTTTGAAGTTTCGGAGTTACATACTTGTAAAAAGTTTAATCCAACATAATATAATCCAACAAATATAATCCAACAAATTCACAAATGAACTGCCCATTGTTACACTTTGATGTAACAATGGGCAGTTATGATGGAGCAGAAATTTGTGAATTTGTTGGATTATATATTTTAGATTTATTAAGTAAAATAATCAATATAAATAATTTAGGCCTTTATCGTGACGATGGTTTAATAGTAATGCGTAAAAAATCTGGTCCACAGCTTGATAAAATTAGAAAAGATTTTATAAAAAATTTTAAAAATATTGGCTTTCAAATTGAAATAAACATAAATTTAAAAATTGTGAACTTTCTTGATGTCACATTTAACCTCTCGGAAAATACATATAAGCCTTTCAAAAAACCAAACGATGAATTATTGTATATTAATATTAACTCAAATCATCCACCCCAAATTCTAAAACAAATCCTGATTTCAATTTATAACAGGCTTAACCAAAACTCCTCTAATGAAAATGTATTCAATTCCTCCAAACAGATATTTGAAGATGCCCTTAAAAATAGTGGTTTTGAAAACTTTGAATTAAAATTTGACCCTGAAAAAAAGAATACAAAAAAGCGAAATAGAACTAGAAATGTAATTTGGTTCAACCCCCCTATATAGCAAAAATGTTTCCACAAACATAGGAAAAGTGTTTTTAAAATTGATCAATAAGCATTTCCCGCCCTCTAATAAATTACATAAAATTTTTAATCGAAATACTATTAAAGTTAGCTACAGTTGCACAAAAAATATGGAAAGAATTTTAAAAGGTCACAACAATGCTTTGTTAAACAAAAAAGAAATCCAAAATGAAAAAACTACAGAAAATTGTAATTGTAAACAAAAAAACAATTGTCCAACGAGTGGAAGTTGCTTATCAAAAAATATGGTGTATAAATGTGTTGTCTCCTCTAAGAATGTACCTGACAAACAATATATTGGCATAACAGAAGGTGAATGGAAAAAACGTTTTGCCAATCATAAGCAATCTTTGAAAAATAAAAAGTATTCAAAAGACACCATGCTGTCAAAATATATATGGGAATTAAAAGATAAAAATATTGACGATTTTACACTGAATTGGTCCATCCTTAAAACAGTGCCTGCATATAACAATATTTCCAAAAAATGCATACTATGTCTACAAGAAAAATTTGAAATAATTACACATACAAACCAAGAATGTTTATTAAACAAAAAATCGGAATTGATTTCTAAATGCAGGCACAAAAATAAGTTTCTCCTAAAAAACTATAAAAATAAGTGAGCTCAAATAATAGTTACATTAACTCCCCTTTGAAAAAAATATATTATTTTTAAAAAGCTTTAGTAATCATTTCTAAAGAATTCTTTTTACAATAGTGTCATCAAATTACACAAATGAGTGAAAAATTGCAGTAGTTAAGACATGTGACTTCCTGTAATTTAATTTTTGGTATAAATTGAAGTTTTATTAATTTGATCATTCATTTCTGATGAGTCTTTATTGATGAAACACAGTGTTAAATGAGAAAAAATTTTGCTAAGTGATTTTCTACTAATTTGTAATTGCTCTGTTCTTTTAAGAACATTGAGCACTCTTTTTGTAGAATACATTTTAAATTGCTTATTTATATATATATATATATATATATATATATATATATATATATATATATATATATATATATATATACATACATAACAATACAACTCGAAAAAGACCATGACTCCTTGTCACTGATAAACTGCTTAAACTAAACTAAGACAGTTTTGATAGTTAGATTCATAAAGTTTATGTTTTAATGTTTTTAACTTTTTAATGTTTTTTTTTTTTTTTTTTTTTTTTTTAATGTTGCACCTTAGCTTCTAAAAAAACACTTTAATAACATCTTTAAAAATCACTTTTAAAAACACTTTACTAACATCTGTTAAAATTGTTAAAACTGAAAACTTTTCTTTGCTTTTAGGTGTCCATGATGATCTTTAATTGCTCAATTTACGCTTGTTTTGAATAAGAAAAAGCATTTTCATTTAATATTTTTGAAAAAAGCTGTTAAAACAGTAAGAACTGTTAAAACTGTTAAAACTGTTAAAACTGTTAAAACAGTTAAAACTGTTAAAACAGTTAAAACTGTTAAAACAGTTAAAACTGTTAAAACAGTTAAAACAGTTAAAACTGTTAAAACAGTTAAAGCTGTTAAAACAGTTAAAACTGTTAAAACAGCCATTAACACTACAACTAATAAACATCGATTTAATTAGGATTCAACGCTTCTGTTATCAAGTTTATCTAATAGTTTACATTGAGGTAAAGTTTATCAACTTTAAAACAACTAATAAAGTTTTATTATGTAAAATTCATAATCCTGTCAGTCAAAATGTCCAATTACTTCGTAAATTGATCGGACAATCTCTGATGGAATTGGCCGAACAATGTCTGATGTCCAACCGTTTCATTCTATATACATGCCATGAAATTAATTTTTTATTTATCTATGAAACAAATATCCATAAAAAACATAAAATATGAAACATACCTAAGAGCATACCTGGGAATTCAGGCTAAGTGAAACAATTCCATCTTCGAAAGCAGAGTGTGTATCAATATGAGAAGGAATACCTTGACCTGGTCTATACTGGTTAACAGTAAGCTGATCAGGCATAAAATCTATAATATTGTCTAAAAGCATTTTTTTAAGCAAGCTATCACACACTGATGGTATTTTCTGTGCAAGTGGTTTCGATCTATCAATATTATTAGAGCCATAAATAAATTCATAGCCAAAATGTTTTACAGTTCGATTTTTCATCAGTGAACCTAAAAAATAATTAAACACAAAAATCTTTATTAAAATAGTCAGAGTTGTGGCATTGTATATACAGCTATCGGCACTCAACAATGCGAACTTAACTGCAGACCGAGAAGTGTTAGAGGTTGGCAAAAAATTGCCGACCTTGTTAAATAGTAAATTTATATATATATATATATATATATATATATATATATATATATATATATATATATATATATATATATATATATATATATTATTTATATATATATATATATATATATATATATATATATATATATATATATATATATATATATATATATATATATATATATATATATATATATATATATATATATATATATATATATATTCCAGATATTATACCTAAACAATTTTCAGGATTTTAAAAATATGACCTCGATGATCTATTTATATCTTATTACCTAATAATATTTATATACAAAATTAAATAAGTTTTTTTAACCCAGCTGAAGTTAATTATAAAATGGTCGAAACATGTATTGTAATTTTATTTGTTAAAAAAAAGGTTTTTATTAATAAGTGGAAAAAATTATATATATATATATATATATGTATATATATATATATATATATATATATATATATATATATATATATATATATATATATATATATATATATATATATATATATATATATATATATATATATATGTATATATATATATATATATATATATATATATATGTATATATATATATATATATATATATATATATATATATATATATATATATATATATATATATATATACATATATATATATATATATATATATATATATATATATATATATATATATACATATATATATATATATATATATATATATATATATATATATATATATATATATATATATATATATATATATATATATATATATATATATATACATATATATATATATAATTTTTTCCACTTATTAATAAAAACCTTTTTTTTAACAAATAAAGTTACAATACATGTTTCGACCATTTTATAATTAACTTCAGCTGGGTTAAAAAAACTTATTTAATTTTGTATATAAATATTATTAGGTAATAAGATATAAATAGATCATCGAGGTCATATTTTTAAAATCCTGAAAATTGTTTAGGTATAATATCTGGAAAAAATCAGGAATATAATTTCCCTTATATTGTTCTTAATTTTGTTTTAGCTAAGTTGTTTCCAATATTTTTTTCAAAATTTTCTTAATTTTTGCATCAGTGTCAAGTGAAAAAGCTTAAAAAACAAATATATTACAAAAATATATACCTAAACTTGTATGTATGGAAAAGGTTTTGGATATCTAGAAAAACTAGTTGAGAAAAATATCCGGAATTCTGGAAATATCCGGAAAAAGATAATCTCTGAATATAAATTGCAATTTATTTTTTTAATAATTGAGACAATATAGGCAATAGCAAAAAAATATTCAACAAAAGAGTTATTAAATTGTTTAGCAAAAGGTTAACGACTAATAAAATGGTGATGGTTGGTTTATGTAAAAAGCGATATTTTATTTAACTGTTTATTCATATTTGGATTTTTCCATTAAATGAGCAAACTTTCCTTAATCTTAAGCTCAAATTTATTAGAGGCCTGGAATCCAATATCCAGAAACAGCCATTATTGTAATTACTAAAACAATTATTGTTGGCATGGAGATGTTTGGATATATGTGAGTTTTTGTCTCTCCTGTAGTGTTCAATCATTCTTGTTTTAAGGTGGCGAGAAGTTTCGCCTATGTAACAGGAATTACATCCTGCTCATACAAATATATAAACAACGGATGATTTGAACTCTACAGTAAGAGGATCCTTTGGCAAAAACATATTATAACTTTTAAAGTAGGTAAAAATTAAAGTTTATAGGTTTACAATGTTTTTTAATAATAGAATTTAAACTCTTTTTTGTTTGATCAGATATATTAACAACATAAGGAAGTGTAAAGTAGTTTTTCATGATTTCTTGGTTTTCCGATTCATGTTGATTAGTTTTTTTGGTAAGATAAGAATTATAAATTCTATTTATAAGCCAAGTTGGATACATGTTGCTTTTGAGAATATTAAAATATTTTTGACGTCATAAAAAAAACCAAGCTTAGTATTATTAATCAACTTTACAATGAGATTGCAAATGGCGCAAGGGTTTATTTAACGGTGAGAAGGGGAAAAAAAAAAAAAAAAAATTAAAGGGATCCCTAACTGCCAATACAAGTTGTGTTCATATTAAAGAAAATATTTTAAAAAAACATTTGGGCTAAATTCTTTTGATTCAAACTAATTAATGAATGCACACCATTAATTTTAAAATTGACTTTTTAGTTGAAGCTCGTCGTCTCCATTTTTTTTTATTTCTTGGAGTGTGTATAATGTTAGCCACAATCTGCAGACTTGATAGTTTATTCAATGCGTGTTTAATTCATAACCGTTTCAGTATATGACATATCGTATTATTTTTTTACCACAATCAGCAAATCATTTTAATTGTATATCTTTTAACTAAACCTCAAAAAAAGTTTATGATACAATTAAAAGTTAAATTTATAAAACTTATAAAAATAAAAATTTAATATATATCGAATATTTGTACTGGTTTAAACTAAATATAAACAAGATAAAAGAATAATTTTACTAAAGTGTATAAATTAATTTAAAGTATAAACTAAATAAAAAACCAGTGACTTGAATAAAACATATAAACTGAACTAAGTAGAAAATAAATATTAAACAAATTATTTTACTAATAACCATACAAATCAAACTAAATTAAAGTTAAAACAAATATTTGTACTAAAACATACAAAAAAAAGTTAAATTATAAGTATAAAAACGAAGAATTGCATTAACTCATTTGCTACCAGTCAAACAAAAATCTTTTCATAGCTATCGCACATTTTTTTGAATAAAATTTGAATGACATAACATTGACAATTAATTAAAATTCGAAATAGTAAATGTCTTTAAAAGCATAAAAAACTTTATATCATTAGAAAGCTAAACAAAAGTACTTTTAAAATAAATAAGTTTTTAACACGCATCATTAAACAATAAGAAATGCAAAGTACTTAAAACCATTGTTTTTATAAATAGTAACTAAAACATCAAGTCCAAAACAAAACTCATTTAATAAATAAAAAGAATATTTTTTCTTCAAAAGACTTAATTACTCAACTAAAATTAGCTTAAAGGTGGTAATTACTTAACTAAGTACTTAACACCTCTACAAGCTAAATTTTACAGAGTTAACGCTGTTTTACTTTATAACTTATAAATTAGTTATAAAATATAATTTATAAATTTAAAGAAGTTTTTTTTATAAAGGATCATTCAAGATTTTTTAACTTTGTCAAGTGATAACTTTTTTATAAATACACAATATAGCTCTTATTTTTTCTTGATTATGTAGAGAATTAATTAAATCTTTAGAACAAATTATATGTGTCTAGAATGGAAATTTATGTACAAAACAAGATAAATTGTAAAGCATACTCGAAAGCCGCTACCAGAGGCTTGCGGTAGTGAAAGAGTTAAACCATAACTAAATGTAAATTAAACATAAAGCGAATAACTCTATTAAACCGTATGAACTAAATATAAAATGAGAAACAGCATCATACTGCCTTTATTTTTTCTCTGTCTGCGAATTATTAAATCACAAAATATATAAAATTGTGTCATGATTTTTGCTCGCTTCTAAAACAAAGTAGTAATAAAGCAAGTAAGAAAAAAATTATAAATATAAAAATATATATATATATATATATATATATATATATATATTTGTATAATTTTTTACTAAATTAAAATATTTTTTGTGATTTAGTAAAAAATTATACAAATATTTTATTTTCTGATTGTAGTAGAAAAAATACTTATATCTACAACAAAAAAATGCAATATCTTAAAAAGATATTGCGATGATTAAACATGCATGGAATAAGTATCAAGCCTGCAGATTGCGGCAAACATTACACAGACTCCGAAAACCAAAAAAAATGGAGAAGGGGAGCTAGGACTAAAATGAGAATTTTAATTTTGTTGGTATGCTTTTATCATTTAGTTTCAATCAAAAAAATTCAACCCTAATTTTTTTTTTTAAACATTTTCTTTAATATGAACATAACTTGTCTCGGCAGTTGGAGATCCCTTTAAATAACAAAAAAAATAAGTTAAAAAAAAAGTAAAATAACAAAGATATTAAAAGGTATAAACGAAATAAAAAATTAAAGAAATAATAAAACAAGAAAATGAATAAAAAAGTAAAACGAACAAATAGATTTAATAAAATAAAACAAAAACAATCAATTAAAAGCAAAAAAAATCAAGTTAAAAGAAAAGAAGTTCGAAAAATATTCAAAAAATAATAACAAAAAAAAAACTTATCAAAACAAAAATAATTTGCTAACCTAATTTTGTAAAATTATTTAAAAAATTGTAACTTTTAAGTTTGGGTTAAATAAGTTAATAATAAAATAAAAACTTTGAAGGTTCTATCAATTAAGCATTTAATTAAATTTACCTTGTGTGAAAAAGAGATAAAACTAAAAAAAGAAGTATGAAGACCTGAATACGTCTCCTTATGAAAAATTGAGGTAGGTAAGGAACTGTTTACTTTGTTTATATAATATTATATATATATATATATATATATATATATATATATATATATATATATATATATATATATATATATATATATATATATATATGATGTGCAAAATAATATATTAATATCCAAGACTGAGATACTAGATTCCTTTTCCTTTTCCATAGTAAAAGGTATTGAATTATGTCTTTTATTGAAATAGTCAAGAAAATGGCATAAATAATTTTCTGAAAGGGATGCGGCAAAATGTCATCAACATAACATTTGTAAAATACTGGCTTGATTCTATTGTACTAAACTAAATTTTTTATTCTACATTTTACTAACTATTTTACATTCCTTAAAAACTAAAACTAAGAATAAAAATTCAAGTCTTTTAAT